ATTGTGCAATTGCTCTGGGGCAAGAAACGAGGCTGGGATGACCCTTGCCTCCCTGCTGAACTACTGAGTGCTTGGCAACAGTGGGAGAATGAGCTCCATCAGTTATCAGAGATCTCTCAGCCCAGATGTTACAGCTCCAACAGTCAGGATGCAATCAAAAGTCGCAGCATTCATGTATTCTGCGATGCGTCTGAGAGAGCCTATGGCTCTGTTGCCTACTTGAGGACTGAAGACGATCAGAACAACATTGCGGTAGCCTTTTTGGCCGCAAGATCCAGAGTCGCTCCAAAGAAGCAGCTCTCAATCGCACGCTTAGAACTTTGTGCTGCAATGACAGGAGCACAGCTGGGTGCTGTTTTGAAGAAAGAGCTGACTTTAGACATCCACAACTTTGTGTATTGGTCAGATTCTACCACAGTCCTCGCGTGGCTGCAATCTGATTCTTGCAGGTACAAAGTATTTGTTGGAGTTAGAGTCTGTGAAATACAAGAGTTGTCTGACCCAGAATCCTGGCGGTATGTCGATTCTTCGAATAATCCTGCTGATGACATCACACGAGGTTTGGCACTGACTCAACTGGCTCAAGACACTCGCTGGAGCCAGGGTCCAGCCTTCTTGATGCAACCCAGCTGCAATTGGCCAAAGGCACCCGAGGGTCAAAGCCTTGATGATAGTCAAGAGCTCAAGAAACCTGTATTCAGTGGGTTGCTTAAAGAGACTGCAATACCTGCCATTCCAGATTTCCATCAGTTCAATAGTTATCAAGAGCTTCTAGAAGCCACAGTGCAGTCCCTGCATGGGGCGGCTGGCAGTAAAGAACCACCAGATGCAGATGGATTTCATGATGCAGAATTGACTCTTCTGAGGCATTGTCAAATGCAAGACTTCCCTGAAGAATTTGCCTCGCTTAAGGAAGGAAAGACTCTCTCAACCAGCAGTCGGCTGGTAGGACTTACACCTGAGTATGACAAAGATTCCAATCTGATTAGAGTGGGTGGTAGACTTAGAAGATGTGACAGCCTGGCCAAAGAAGTTCTACATCCTGTGGTTTTATCCCCGACTCACCCAGTGGTGAAACTCCTTATTAAGCACTATGACGCCAAACTACTTCACCCTGGACCTGGACGGGTGTTTGCCGAGCTACGGCGAAAGTTTTGGATTCTAAGAGGGAGAGAGGCAGTTAAGAAACATCAGCGTAGCTGCCCTGAGTGCCAGAAGTGGAGGGGTCGACCAGAAATTCCAAGGATGGCAGACATTCCACCTTCCAGCCTTAGGTTATTCAAACCTCCCTTTTATTCCACTGGGGTTGATTGCTTTGGTCCCTTTACAATTAAAGTAGGCCGTCGTACAGAGAAAAGGTGGGGTATCCTCTATAAATGTCTCACCACTCGAGCGGTTCACCTCGATCTACTGGATCATATGGACACTGATTCATTCTTGATGTCCCTTAGACGCTTTATTTCACGTAGGGGAAAGCCATACGAGCTTCTATCTGATCAGGGAACCAATTTCAGAGGGGGGAGTCGTGAATTGGAAGAAGTCTTCAGTCAAATAGAACCCACTCTCAGAGAACAACTCTCCAAAGAACAGATCAGGTTCCGTCTTAATCCTCCCAGTGCTCCTCACTTTGGGGGATCCTGGGAAAGAGAAGTGAGGTCTGTGAAAACAGCCCTACGGACCACACTGGGTGCTCAGGTTGTCACTGAAGAGGTATTGAGGACGGTCTTAGTAGAGATTGAAGGAATTTTAAATTCAAGACCTTTGGGTTATGTCTCCAGTGATGTGGCCGACCCAGATCCTGTGACTCCGAATTCATTGCTGATGGGGCGGCCTGACTCCTCGTTACCTCAGGTGGTCTATCCTGAGTCTGACCTGCTCAGTCGGAAGAGGTGGAGACACAGCCAGATTCTCAGTGATCACTTCTGGAAGCATTTCGTGCATGATTTTCTGCCTACTTTACAGACACGTCAGAAATGGAATCAAGAGAGAGAGAACATTACAGTTGGAACTGTAGTCCTTATAGCTGATGAGCAATTACCGAGAGCGCTCTGGCGAGTGGGTACTGTTTCCTCCATCATTCCTAGCTCTGATGGTAGAGTTAGAACTGCTGTTGTTAAAGTGAAAGATCATACTTACACCCGACCAGTTGCTCGATTGATTAGATTACCCGCTTTACCGCAGGGCTCAGATGATATGCAGTAGTAGATTTTACTACAGACAAATTTGTCTACCAAATTTGGGGGCGGCTGTAAAAAAGCCCATGTTCAGTTTTTGTTCACTTATTATAAAGGCTGTGCAGCTGTCATGTTGGTCATTGATTTGAATATGAGGGGGTGTGGTTTAATCTGAGTTCGCGCGAAAGCAGATCATATTTCTTCGGTTCGGATCCTGAGGGAAAGTTTAGGTCCTGCAATCTTACCTGTAAAGCAGTGAAATAAGATAGATTAACATCACTTTCTGCAGCGCCTTCACTTTGTGAACTGCAGAATAGGATATTTGTGCTCTTGATCGGCAGTGGACGATATTAAACTTTGCACTGAAGTTTCCATGGTGACGATTCCTGAATGTGCGTCATTGAAGATTGTGAGTTACATTTATATTATTATTTAATGGTCACTTATTCACTGTTTGCCTTTATGTACGGCTGCTACATTATATTTTATGTTAAATGAGAGTGCAGTTACCTGATTGTGGGAAATATTATGTTAATAGTGACAGATGTGATCATCCATTATATAGAGCTGTAATGTTTCAGCATTTCTGTCGTGTTAATTGCACATCTATACAGTTTATGTTGCTGATTACATTATTTGTTTATTGTAGAACCACGTTTGAGAGTCATACATCAGCGAGATAAATATTCAGTAACATCTTAGATTATACACTGGAATTTATCGTCTCTGAGGATTTACTATACTTCAGGGCATGAGACTGCATCTCAACATCAACGTCACAAAGCCTTTTGGACACTTTAAAGAACTGTAGAGACCACACGGACTGTTGCAATCTTTGTTTCACTGCCTAATCACAGGACCAACTGTCATCTGTATCCTTGAATCTGTTGAAACAATTCATTGTTTATTTCTGTTGATTATTTTGCGTAGGCCTACGTTTTATTTGTACATTTTCTTTACATTTGAATACCTTTGATGGTGAATATGTACACAGTGTATTTTATTGTTCAACAATATTCAGAGTAAAAGGTACAATTTAGTTCAACTGCTTTATCTTCATTACTCTCATAGTCATTGGACATCGAAATGTGGTGATCGACCCTCTGAAACGATTAGCATCGTAAAAGTAATTAGCGCAGTACAGTTCCATTTGTACAAGTACCCTAGACTTAGTCAGGAACCCAGAATAAAAGTGTGCTGTTGTTTTTCTCTGGAGATTTTTCTGCTCTTATTTCAAGAGACCCAATTACATTTATGTATGCACTGCTCCTTTGAGCTTGTTATGACTGTTCTGTATGTGGGGAGTTGATGTTATTCCTAGAGAAAATTCCATTGGAGACCTAAATGTTCTCCATGAATTCAAGTCAGTTTGATTGGTTAGTGGCGTTGGTAACCAGAGGGCTGTTAAATAATGGAATTTATGTATGAAAACTGTAGGCTGTAATGGAAAGGTTTGTAGTCTCTTTTAGGCGCCCGTTCATTCTTAAGTTACTGAGTGGAAATATCTCATTTATTTTGTTCTTTTTCTACATCTCTTTAGTTCAGGGAATTGTTAGGCATATGTTCTTAAATATAATATAGTCACAACTGTGAAATACTGTGTTGTTATTGTTGACTAAAACTATTAAAGCTATTAAACTATACTATTAAAGTTTTATTTTTAGTAGATGAAGTACTACAATTACTAAAAATAAAACTGAAAAAATATCAATTGAAGCTAAATGGAAATATTGAAAAAACTAATAAAAATTGCAAAAGGACATAACAAAATTATTAAATTGTAAATTAAAGAATATAAAAATAGTTAATTCTTAGCTAGTTCTTAGTTAATTACTACTTAATACTTAGTTAATTTTATAATAGTATATAAATATAACTAAAATAATGCTGGTGAAAAATAAAGTGAGATATAAAGTCGCAGTTACAGAAAATAAAGTCGCAATTAAAAGGCACAAATGTGAGATGTAAAGTGGCAATTGTGAGAAATAAAGTTACAACTGAGATAAAGTCAGAGTTGTGAGAAATAAAGTCACTCAATTATGTGAAATAAAATTTCAATTATGAGGAAAATGGGTCAGAGTTGGAAACGGGCTTCTGTGTTTCGGTGGACAGTTGTGATTAATGCTGTGAATAATCAGTGTGATTCCTAGTATTATAGTTCAACTTAAGTTCCCATTTTATTCTAAATTATTTCAGAGCTACAGTTCAAAGATATCGTAATTACCTCTTGCTAAGAATTTACCCTATGAAATGTCAGGCTAAATGTGTCGCTCATTCTCATGTTCCTGAGGGATCAGCACTTCTTCGGTCTCTAGATCACAAATGAGACGACTAGAATTTGAAATGTCCCATTAGGATACCTTCACGAACACTCTCGCAGCTGTTTACAAAGATGTTCTGATCACTAGGGCGCCACAACAAGACACATTTCGGTCTCAATTAGTAATCTTAACTAGCAGCAACATTAACATCAAGTAGCCTAAAGGCAAAATATTCCATTTGTTGTTTTCCATAGGCTCTCATCTTTCAGCTCAGATGCATTTTCGAAATAATTCCTACCTCAGCAGTTGCACCTGTCAGCCAGGTTTACCTGGAAAAACCTCAGTCCATCAGAACTTACTAATGTGTTCATTGTGCCTATTTTTCCGGGAATTCCCTGTGCGGGAGGCACAATGTCAAACAGTGCATGTAATGCCTTTTAGCTCATCCAGGTGAAAACAGCTTCACCTTTGTCCTCCCAAATGTAAACATGGAATCACTTCATATTGTTTTATCATAAAAGGTCAGAAATAAGAATGTCTGATCCAGACATGTTTTTTTTTTCAGGTCAGTGGAACGATGTATAACACGGGCCGACATGTTTCACTGCGCCCAGACAAGTCACACCTGGTGAACATCTCTGGCGGGCCACTGAGCTACAGCTACAGGTTGGAGGAGATCCGGCTTCACTTTGGCAGTGAGGACAGCCAGGGCTCAGAGCACCTGCTCAACGGCCAGGCTTTTCCTGGAGAGGTGAGCCAACATAGAGTCTGGAAATACATCACTTCTGTGGGATTCAATTAAACAGACCCTTGAAGTAATGGCATTGAAGTTAATGGAGAAGGAAAAATTGTGTAATTAGTGCCTTTTATCAAATTATTTTTACACTAAAAAATTTTAATATCTCCTTCTCTCAGATCAAAGAAATTGTCCAAAGCCAAATCAATTATTGCAATTTTCACTTGAGTGATAAATTTGTGATTTCTCTGAAAATGTGTGCATTGTGCGCTGAGTTTGCATTAATAAAGTCTTGTATTTAAGATTAAGGGCAAAAGTCAGGATTATGGAAGTGATTTTGCTGTAAGAGTAGGCTAAATAAAAACATAAAGCAAGTCATCTTCAAGTTTGCACAGTCACTATGAATTGGTCATGTGCTTTAAATGTATGATTATAGTGAGGAAAAACAGTCTGACAACAGACGGACCTTTTTTTTGTCTGAATCTATTAATGTATTATATATTATATTATCTAATATACTGTATATAATATATAACAAATACAATCCATACACTATCTGAAAGATTGCACCAATGCTGCTGTTATTTGATTAAAAAAACACAGTAAAAACAGAAATACTGTGAAATATTATAATTTTAAATAAAGTAAAAATTGTTTGAATATATATTTTTAAATGTTATCCTTGTGACGACAAAGCTGAATTTTCAGCATCATTACTCCAGAATCTCATAATCCTTCAGAAATCATTCTAATATGATGATTTGCTGCTAAAGAAACATTTATTGTTATTATCAATGTTGAAAACAGTTGTGTTCAATAATTTTCAGGATTCTTTGATGAATAAAAAGTTAAAAAATAACAGCATTTATCTGAAAATGGAAGCTTTTGTAACATTATACACTACCGGGTTGTTGTTTTTTTTTTTTTTTTTTGAAAGAAATTAATAGTTTTAATCTGCAAACATGCATTGAATTGATCAAAAGTGAAAGTGACAATAAGGACGTTTATTATGTTAGAAAAGCTTTCTATTTCAGATAAATGCTGTTCTTTTGAAGAACCTTGAAAAAAAAAATCCACATTGATAATAATTCTAAATGTTTCTTAACAACAATAATACTATAATAAGAAATGCTTTTTTATGTTTTCAAAAGCGTTAAAAAAGTGTAAAAGTAGAAGTCCATAACATAAAGTATTTAAAAAACAGTGTTTATACACTCACCTAAAGGATTACTAGGAACACCATAATAATCCAGTGTTTGACCCCCTTTCGCCTTCAGAACTGCCTTCTATGTGACATTGATTCAACAAGGTGCTGAAAGCATTCTTTAGAAATGTTGGCCCATATTGATAGGATAGCGTCTTGCAGTTGATGGAGATTTGTGGGATGTACATCCATGGCACGAAGCTCCCCTTCCATCACATCCCAAAGATGCTCTATTGGGTTGAAATCTAGTGACTGTGGGGGCCATTGTAGTACAGTCAACTCATTGTCATGTTCAAGAAACCAATTTGAAATGATTCAAGCTTTGTGACATGGTGCATCATCCTGCTGGAAGTAGCCATCAGAGGATTGGGTACATGGTGGCCATAAAGGTATGGACATGGTCAGAAACAATGCTCAGGTAGGCCGTGGCATTTACACGATGTCCAATTGGCACTAAGGGGCCTAAAGTGTGCCAAGAAAACATCCCCCACACCATTACACCACACAGCACAGTTGTAACAAGGCCTGATGGATTCATGTTCTCATTCTGTTTACTCTACCATCTGAATGTCTCAACAGAAATTGAGACTTATCAGACCAGGCAACATTTTTCCAGTCTTCAACTGTCCAATTTTCGCAAGCTCTTGCAAATTGTAGCCTCTTTTTCCTCTTTTTTTTTTTAGAGGAGATGAGTGGTACGGTGGGGTCTTCTGCTGTTCTGTGTTGTAGCTTCACAAATGCTTTGCTGCATACCTCGGTTGTAACAAATGTTGTTATTTCAGTCAAAGTTGCTCTTCTATCAGCTTGAATCAGTCGGCCCATTCTCCTCTGACCTCTAGCATCAACAAGGCATTTTCGCCCACAGGACTGCCGCATACTGGATGTTTTTCCCTTTTCACATCATTCTTTGTAAACCATAGAAATGGTTGTGCAAATCCCAGTAACTGAGCAGATTGTGAAATACTCATACAAGTCTAGCACCAACATCCATGCCAAGCTCAAAATTGCTTTCCCATTCTGGCATTCAGTTTGGAGTTTAGGAGATTATCTTGACCAGGACCACACCCCTAAATGCATTGAAGCAACTTTGCCATGTGATTGGTTAATTAGATAATTGCATTCATGAGAAATTGAACAGATGTTCCTAATAATCCTTTAGGTGAGTGTAGTTAAACACAGAAATAGAGCAAATTATTAATAATGCACAACACCAGAAGGTTTTCAAACTGTCAAGAACATTCTTGGCACAAAGATGTGCGTCCCTCTGTGATCCTCACCTCACCTCTGATTTCACTGAAGTCAGCAGCTTCTCTTCATTTTCCTAATTCAAATGAGGTTATATGGGTAGCAGCTTTCCAACAACTTCATCCTGAAGCTGACAAGCAAGCTCATTATAACTGATGACTGAAGCATATTTTCTAATGAGCTCCAATGCAATTTTGAGCCACTGAAAATTAAGCAGCAGATTTCCTGGCTTCCATCTCTCTGCTTTCATTGAGCTGCGCTGAAAGAACAATAAAGCAGGATGGAGGAGCATAAAGGAGCTTCATAATGTTCCCATTAACAATTCATTAACAATTTATACACAACACACAGCAAAATATTTATTCTGATTAATGCACTGACCCTCATTACAGTGTCACACGAGATTGCGAGCTGACATAAAGGAAGTTAATGGAGATATGCTGTTATATAGACATCATTTATGGGCATGTTTTATGGATAATGGGTGTTTTGAAATTAGATTGCAGGCAGTCGTACAGTCACAATGGTTTGGCTCCATGGACACTTTTACCTAGCAGGTGTTTGTTAGTGTTTTACTGGAAGTCACACTTCTTCTTTCTTTCTTTTTTTCTTTTCGCAGGTGCAACTCATCCATTATAATCAGGATTTGTATTTAAATTACAGTGATGCCGCCAGGAGTCCTAATGGAATTGCAGTTGTTTCTATCTTCATGAAGGTAAGTAGACTCCATTGCTTTAAATGTATATAATGGAAAGGATTCATTATCAGTCTTAAACTCCATTAATCTTTAGGAAACATTTTAGGAGTACACTTAACAGATCAGGTCAAATATTAATGTAGCTACATGATATGAATCAACATGCCATAAAAGCTCTAACGTAATGGTTTGATATTTTTAAGCATTATATAATGTAGTAATTTTATTAAAGCAATGTTACCTTTAATGAATACTGGAAATGTAATCAAATAGAATTTGCTCTTAAATCGATTTTCTTCCCAAAAGTTTAGCAAATATAAAAATCTGCCATAATCGTCCCCCATTGTTTCATATCCACTACATTCATTATGCATCCATGTTGCTCATGTTGCTTCAAGGGAACAAACGAATAAAATATAATTCATTTATAAGAATCTAAATTATTTAAAAATATATGACAACTATGACAATATTTTTAATGGGCGCAAAATAAATAAAATACTTTTCTGATAACAATTCTCTTGGGCAAAAAATTGCATACTGGTACACAAGGCCAGAAAAATATTTTCTGATTTGACTGCCAGGATAAAACATAATCACTAAAAGCTTTTTATTGTTTTTTTCAAAGTCACCTCTTCATCCGCTCTGCGGTTTCTCCTCCCCAGGTTGAGGCACCATTGCTGTGGCTATCGAGTTCTGAGGAACTGGATGTTGTTAGTGTTGATGCAAGGGATTGATTAGTTTTCACCAGCTCATACCCCACATGTTGATGGGGCGCTATGCTTTAGCTGAATTTAATATTGACTGGCCAGCCGATGATGTTGAAACTGAATGTAGAAAGAGTCTTTTAGATGAACGATGTTTGCCATCCAGATCACGACCTCCTCGTTGGGAAAGTTTTTTTTCCCCATCTCCACACTGAGGTGTCGAGAACGTGGAATAAACCGGCATCTTTCAGAGTACATGATCCACAAACAATTAACTGTAGTAATGTCAAAGGTATATCACACTATGGTTATATGACAATGCCTTGAGCAGAAGAGTCACGACGTTACCCACCAAGCCTTTAAAAAATACATCCTTGCTGGTGGGTAAAACGTATTCGGCAGCAGGTCAAGCCGCGGCATGCCTACACACAATGTCGATTCTCCAAGTATACCAGACTGACCTGCTGAGGGACATGGATGATTGTGAGGAAGTTAGTGCTGACACAATTCGAGAATTGCGTCGCACAACAGATTCATCATTCAGTTCACACATTTTAAAATGATCTAGTTCAGTTCATAGTTCATAATCCAATTAATGAACTAGTTCACACAATAGTTCTTTCTTTCATATGTTGCGAGCTTTTATCGACGGGCAAACTTTGCACAGAAATGTACGATTTTTCCCATCCTCACCGATGGGAAAAAAATCCATTAAAATCAATTTAAAGGATCATACGACGCCGCCTCGCTCGCTGCTTTGTCGACGGCGGCTGCGGTGCGACACTGTTGTCTTGTGTTGCCAGATTGGGTGTTTTTTCGCTACATATTAAGGCCTGTTAACGTGTGTTTTATCTGGGTTTTCGCCTGGAAGGCTCTATAGAAATCTGGCACCCTATTGAGCGAAGTTAAACTGAGAGAGCGTGCGTTCACAGACACCAGAACGAACGCGTTCACAGTAACGTTCATCAGGCAGTAATACAGTACGTTCAGTTCACGTTCGCCCAAAATATGAACGCACAACACTGATCGTTTCAATGTCAGCGAGGTCTGACGAGGGTCATAGAACGATCAGTTTGGTTGTTCCCTGCCGATTCGCAGGTTTCTCTCAGGTCTCAGGTCTGGCAGGAAATATTTAAGAGCTTGATATACCACCATCATCAGGGCATTCACACCGCGTCTCAACGCAGCGTCTCGTTCTTACTAGGGAACTACGGTTACATACATAACCTGAGACGTTTTTTAACATTATAAGTGAACCTCATGGAACTTATGAAAATAATAAACAAATCTATAACCACTTTTAGACATGTGAAATGCCATGTTTCACAGTCAAATTTAGTTAAACCTACACTGTAACTCTTTTAATTTATTCTTAGCTAAAAACACTTAGTTCTTTCAAAAATATATGTGCTCATTAATGTATATTTACTTGGTTCAAGTAATAAAGTATTCTCGTGAGTGTATAATATGGCATTGAAAATACATACGGGTAAGGGGTTCTAATGTCGGTCGCCATGTTGCCCCTCCATCTTGAAAGTACATCAGCCAAAGAGGGACATACGTTAATTCAAGCTTCGCCTTTCGCGTTTACGTTTGAGTTAACACTCATGGACGAGGTCGAACTGGAAGCCATGTTAATCTTGGACTACATTGGCCACCGTAGGAGTTAAAACAAAATCGGAATTTATGCACAGCTGCACTACTTCCTGAACTTAAGCCAGGTCCTTGTTTGCTGTCTGCCATTATTGTCCAAACTTGATTAATTCAGGTGTGTCTGATTATTGTTGCCGTGACTACTGAGGTCAGGCACACCTGGATTAATCAGTTTGTCCAATAATGGACGACAGGAAACAAGGAGCTGGCTTAAGTTCAGGAAGTAGTGCAGCTGTGCATGAAGCCAGTTGAAGGAACAGAAACTAATATTATACCTTTTCACCGCTAGATGGGGTAAAAATCACACAGTGTAGCTTTAATGAATTCATCTTTAAAAAGGCCATTCAGTCTTGTCTTGTTTTTGTTTAATTACCACTTTTCTCCTTTAAACTAAAGTGAGATAATGGTAGAGATTCCTCGGCATTAACCTCATCACACAGCATGATGTAAGAATCGCAGATTGCGGCAGGAGTCGCCTCCCTGATGGTTTGAATCGTGACTTCTGTGTAAATTGGGGTTGAACTGCCACAGTTCAGATGAAGGTATTGCAGTATTGCAGCCTCCTCCACCTCCCCCCATTCACTTTCATCCCGCTTCACAGTGATCGTGATATCGGGGAATCTCCACCATTCTGCTGCTAATGAAGGCACATGGATGAAAGCCATTCATCTTCAGCACATGGAAAAAAAACACACGTCCAGATGCCCCTAGAATAAATTCTACTTGACTATTATTGATTATGCTTGTGATTTGGTGAAGCCGTAATGAAATATCTCAGCAGTAAGTTAACGCTCATGTCATTTGTGATTAATGTACTTAACAACACCATGTTTGATGAAACTCTGCCTTTTCATCAGAAAAAGCTGCAGAAATGTGCTTTTAAATGTTTTCTTTGATATCTGACTCTTCAGATTTCAGAGCCTACAAATGTGTTTCTAAACCGTATGCTGAGCAGAGAAACCATTACAAGGATTACATATAAACGTAAGTGCCCTCAAATACCAATGTACTTCGTCACTAATGTCAATGGAGCCGGAGGTGCTCTTTTCTTTTTACACTTTTTAATTTTTTAAAGCTGCTTTTTATTAGCATTCAATTTAAAAGTATATTAATTGTATTAACATGAAATTGAATTTATGTTACTATTGTTAACATAAAATTGTATTTGATTGAAAACTGCCGCCAGCAATATTATTAAATCAAATGGCTTCCACAGTCTGAATGTGAAATATTGCTTCTGCGTAGAATAACTCATAATGAAAAAAGACAGGGAAAACCAACTTGGCTTTGTATTACCACCTGGTGGTCTTGGATAAGAAGTGATATTTTATTCTGTCAGCATTGCCAGAACAAAATAATTATTGTGATATGATAATACCACGTATATTGTCCTGTAGGAATGCGTCTAGATATCTTGTGTAAGCGTGTGTTATTCATCTCAGCCCATCGCTTGTTTTGTATATGTCTTTCAGATGATGCGTACTTACTGATGGGCCTCGATATTGAGGAGCTGTATCCCGAAACCTCCCGTTTTATCACATATGAAGGGTCGATAACTATTCCACCGTGCCTTGAGACAGCCACCTGGATATTAATGAATAGGCCGATTTACATCTCACAGATAGAGGTGACGTGTTGAAAACTCATTTTTCAAATTTCAGGGCTGCAATTATTTGATCTAAAATATAGCAAACCCATAATATTTTGAAAAGTAATTACAAATGACATTTATTTAATTTATTGACAGTTTGAAAACTGGCTCTTGTTGTGCATTTAATAATGCTTTGCTTTATTTCTTTCAGTGTGAGGTCAAATTAACTTTTTTAACATTTTTTACTTCTGTTCACTACAGCTGCATTTGTTTGATCTCAAATACAGTAAAACAGTAATATTGTGAAATAGTACTATTAAAAATGACTGTTTTCTATTTTAATATAGTTTTAAATGTAATTTATTCCTTGGATGTTAAAGCTGAATTTTCAGTATCATAACTCCAGTCTTCAGTGTCTCATGATCTTTCAGAAATCAGTATGTGATTTGCTGCTCAAGAAACATTTCTTATTATCAATGTTTTTGTGCAAACAATGATTATTTTTCCACGATTCTCTGATTTCTATTTGAAATAGAAAACCTTTGAAACATAACTTGTTTTACTTTCACTTTTGATCCATTTAATGCATCTTTGTTGAATAAAATAATTCTATTATATTGAATATAACCCAGATTAACATATCTTTTCAGATGCAGTCTCTTCGTCTCCTCAGTCAAAACCAGCCGTCTCAGATCTTCCTCAGTATGGGTGACAACATGCGGCCGACCCAGCCACTGCACCAACGCTGCATCCGCACCAACATCAACTTCAGTCAGAGACGGGACTGTCCTAACAACCGTGTGCTGAGGCCGCAATACAGAGGTCTGTGTCACACTCCACATCAATAACGTGCGTTCGATAAAGCCGAGCACTCTAATTAGACACTTACCATCATTGCTCCTGAAACAGATGGAAATGAAACATTTGTCTTTGTGAATAAGTGTCATGTTTCACAATTTTCTGCTTCTCTTTTCAGTGAATGAATGGCTTCTGAAATAAAGGCTTGCTGGGGTTTAGTTACTTCAGAAATGTGACCACTGGACAGAGGAAGATGGTATACATTCTGCGGGATGAAGCTTGTCAGTGAGACAGGACTCTTCAGTAAAAATCTAAATCAAATTACTTTTCTACTTGTTTACATTGAAAGCAATTGCTTTAACCATTCAATCAGACAGGACTGGTTTTCAGTGACACTGTGTCTTCGGGAACTCTCGAGGAACCGTCTCCTCTCGTTGTTTGCATCCAAACAGCAGGTTGTTGCAGCAAATGAAAAAAATACCTTGAGACTTTGAGACTTTACTTTGACATCAGGCAAACAAAAGGATTTCAAGCCTATACCTTGGTCTATTTGGAGCATGTTGCCTTCTCTACGTAAGTGTTTACAGTGCTACATGAATTGAGTGATATCTGCCCAATAAATCTTTGAAGTGGTCGTGACTCGTGGTGAATGTTTCTCTTTAGTTTTTTAATGAGGTTTTTGAATCTGCCATAACACTGAGCTGCAAAGTTGATTTTAATGGATTGGCAATCAAAATAATGCATAATTGAGTCTGTTGACTAATATATGTTGACATGGTGCTCAGAAGGGTAATGGATTTAATGAATATTTAGGGTGATGAATGTGCAATAAAGTATGTAACAGACCAATCTCTTCAGATTTAGTAATAAAAACTGTCCTATTTTGTTGGATTTAATGAAATGAGCATTATAGCGCATTTTCAAATGTCTTATTTGTTTATACTTGAATGGTTTATCTTTAAATGTAAGCTTTCTATCTAAATGTACATTTTTCAGTAAATGTAAATGTGTAATCTAAACTGAGATGCTTATATTTACACTTAATATTTAGCTATGTGATAATTATGTCTCAGTCATAAATGTCCAAATATGAGAAATTTAAAAGAGAATTAAATGTAAAATTGGTCACATTGATTTTACTGCTAAAAATCTGACAAAATGTTGAAGTTTTTGATTATATAAACCACATTCAATAGGTTTTCGGTTGGTGGGATTTTTTTTTTAATGTTATAGAAAAAAAGTCTCTTATGTTCACCATGGCTAAATTTATTAGTTTTAGTTTATCATTTTGCGTCCATCTCTCAGTACAGTATTAGATTGTGACCACTAGATGGCAGAAATGTACTGGAAAATCAGGTCAGATGCAGCTCAAAATGTGTCACATCCTGGCGGAGCACCATTGAGGGAACAAAGAAGCTGGGGTGAGTGTTCGTTAATGTGCGTTTTATTGCATATTACTGTGTTCAGCAAACAACTTATTATCTGTGTTGTAATATAACAAACACGCCTATTTAAAAATTACGTTTTTTTGTTTATATGCATCATGATTTTCATATATTCAACGGTTGGCGGACTTAAGTGGTAACTTAGCCCGCTAGCTAATGCTGTTTCTATAACACCGGGTTGTGTTTTAAAAAATATATATATATATGAAAAATAAGCAACGTTAAACACAACCCAATTAACGTAAAACACATTTTCTGCCTGAAATGTGAATATGAATTTTAATTTGTTTTTCATATGATGTTTTACTGTTAGTGAAAGCTAGTGTTAGCCGCAGGCTCTAAGCGCTGTTTTGCACGTTAGCATCTCCGCCGTCCAAGCATTCGTGTACTCGGGGTGCGTATAGCTCGTCAAGTACAACACCTTTATGTGTTTTTTCGTGTTAATAACATTTATTTTCTCCCCTTGTAGCTAGCATTGTAGTAAGTTCATCAATAAATAAACCTCTTAGGCTGCTGCACGCCTTCTCGCCGTTATCCTCACCCAGTAACCACACAGGCCTGAGATCCATAAACGCAACATCTCATTTAATTCCTATTAAATCCACCTCTTTATTTATACCACACACACACACACACACTGTGGGATGTTCAATCAAACCGAATTTCACATTATAGCTTAACAGGTGGGTGCATAGTTGTTTTAAACAAAACATATATGATCAAAAAGCAGGTATGTAGATGTTTGCATCTTGAGCAAGTTGATCGTGTTTTTGCACACATAAAGCATGCCTATTCGTCTAATAAGTTTTTGCCCTATTTCAGAACCAAATGATGGGGATAGCCTGATATCCTCAATCCTACAAACAAGATGTCAAGTAAGAGCACATTTCAATTGATTGGTTTGACCCCTTAAAGCCCACCCATCTTGATCAGATCTTCAGAACTGACTTTATTAATCTATTTCTTTGTTTAATTTTACCACTTTCTATGAATACAGTGTAAAAATGGGTGTGCGTCTTGTAGATGTAATTAACTAACATTTGTGGTGTGAAGTGTGCACATTGAACCGATGCAGATGTGACGAATAAGTAGGCTTTACCACTGGTGAAGGATTTTCAATGAATTTCAATAGTCACATAATTACATTTTCCTCCCTTCTCTTCCTCTCACAGAGCGGCCACCCTATACCCCTGCCCCCACCCCAGCCCCCACAACAGTAAGTATCCAGGACATGCCAATCATCCATATGGCCCCTCCCCTCCATCACCCAAACCTATATCGTTAGAGATGAGAGGATTGTGGGAAGGTCACAGTTTCACACGGGGTGGCTTTTGTTATTTTCGTGTACAGCTTAACTCGGTTCTATTAATCCAGAAGTTGCTGAGGATACCATGTACTTCAGGCTCCAAAAGTATTATTTAATGAATTAGGGCTGCACGGTTTGGAAAAAATGCTAGTTATAAATTGCTATATGAAAAAAAAAAATACTGGAATTTTTGCTAGGTGACTTAAATAGAAATAATTAATAATTCTGGAATTATGATGTTTTTTTGTATTTGACACAATTATTAATAATTATTATTATTATAATTGATGTGATTTAATAAAAAATGTTAAACAAAATGTCATGGTAAAATATTGACTATAATAGTACAATAATACTGTTTGTCTTAATTCTTAAATTTTGAACATTTAAACAGTCAAGCTTTTATTTTGGTGGTTTGCTAGCAAGTAAATATGCGCTGGGGGGGTTTCAGAGTAGAGTGTGGCACTGTTCATTTACGTGTGCAGCTCATGATTCGCAGCATCTTAGTTAATTTACTGTCACACGCTACGTTTACCGGGACACAATCGTAATGAAATCAATATGATTGATCAATCCGATCAAGGCGTTTACTTGAATGATAAATAAAGTGATCGGGTTGATGTGCACGTTTATATGTCACAAGATTCAAATCGGAATTGATTCTTTGACATGCGCAAACTGCACGAAAATGCCACTGTTCGCTCATAACTATTCTCCCATATTGGTTCTGTATTTGTTTTAAACAACAGACTTAATATTTATCCGTCTCTGGTCATGATTTGGAGACGATGAGCACGAACCGTTTTGCTGATTGGATTTATCACGCAGTATAAAACCCCCTGCCCAAAAGTCATGTGTGGATGAGAATCTAAAACAAGCACTGGTGGGACGTTGTCCTGCTTCACTTCACAGACACTGAGTGAAACGAGATTTTTTTTGTTTGTTTGTTTTAAAAGTCCGTTTGAGCCGTCAATCCGATTATAAGGGTCCATGTAAACGCAGCTACTGTATCATGAGCTGCATGTGTTAACAAACAGTGCTGCGCTCTGATCTGAAACACGCAATGCACATATGTAATTAAATCACTGCCTTCACATTTGAATAATCGCACTAAGTCAAGTCACAATATCTATTTTATTGTGTGTAGTCCCATGGTTATTCATTAAATACTATGTGTAGAGCATAATGGTGTGTAAGCCTCCTTGTGCTTTATAGATTCTGAGAACCATTCGCAGTAATTTAGTTTCTCCACATGCATTGAATCATGTGTGGTTGAAATACTTGATTCAAATCCCCGGTAATTACTTTAAGCGTTATTCCTGTAAGGCTAGTCGTACGCCACCATGATATTTGGCTAAAATCCTCCCGATCATTATCCCTAAATTTAACAAAGCCTTTTAGAATGTTATTTTGTCCCACCACCCACCCATAGTGCCTGTGGCTTTGCTACTTTGCTACACAAGTGGATGTAGAGTAATGCTAGGGTTGTGCTGCTATCAAAGATTGCTGCTTTTTGCATGTTTTATGCAAATCATGACAGAAAACAAAAGCAGGTTCTCCTTTTCATTTTTTTTGTCCCTTCCTCCCTTGTTTGTGTCATTTCTCATTCGTGTTTTGTCTCATTTGTCTCCATCAGCAAATGCCCACCACCCCTGGGTTTGTGGGGTACAACCCATACAGCCATCTGGCCTACAACAACTACAGGCTGGGAGGGAACCCCAGCGGGAACAACAGGGTAATGGTTCGACCGGTGCCAACTAGGGCCCTAGCGAAAGCCGAGGGATTAAAAGCCCAGACGAGAGGACACTAAAGCTAACTTACATGGCCTGAATATGAAATAGAGTCAAATGCTTTGCTCTTACACTGTACAGAGTAATTTCATAGAGTTGAAGATGTCTGTCGGGCAGTAGAGTCGAGTCTTGGGTAGTTCTCAACTAGTAGCTTCCATAATCCTCTTGCTTCTGTCAAGCAGTCACTCTCAGTAATGTCTGGATGGGTGTGATTGACACAGAATGACTTGTAGCTTCATAGTGATTGCTTCTCAGAACTGTTGCCCCCCCCTCTCCCCCGTCAGCCATCCTATCACTTCATCATGCACGAGAGCCAACGGCCGTCCGCTCGCATGGCTTTAGATGCCCGTGCCAAACTCTGCAACTTGGCATGACTTCTTAGCAAGCTTGAGGCATTTTAGCTGTTGGCTTGTTAAAAAAAACCCAAAAACCCTCTGCAGAATCATTTTCGGCTATAAAAGACAGTTGCTTTGTGTTCAAGAGGGTGTAATGCATGGCCTTGTTGGCGTAATGTTAACGTGCTGTATTTGGTTTGTCGTCCCTTTGCGAAGCACTTCACGCTGTCATTGTTTCTGTTTGCCTCCTGTCCCTCTCCATAGTGCTCCATTATGAAGTTCTGTGTTTTCTGTGTTGACCATGTGTGCCCTTTACGATCTCTAACGCCCCGTGTGGTCCTCTTTCCCTTTCCTGCAGAACTCCTCAGGGATCACCGTTCCTAAGCCGCCCAAACCGCCCGACAAGCCGCTGATGCCCTACATGCGGTATAGCCGGAAGGTAAGCAGGAAGGTAAGACACCCACGGTGTCTGCTTTTACTGCTTGTAAATTGCAGAGAGCGCTTCTGCGATCATCTCAAAGGCTGAGGGGTGGTCAGTGGCCTGACTCCGCCCCTTCATATGGTAGACCCCCAACATCGCTTCATTGCTTTCTTCTGTTTAAACAGGCTGGGAAGCTGACATCTTTTCTGATCTACTCATTGGAGGCTATAAACTTTGCCGCATTTCCTTTCTGTTTTGAGCAAAGTGTTTAAAAAAGATGAAAATAAAGCACTTAGGTTGAATCCGTAATGTATACATAACAGATCGATATATATATATATATATATATATATCGATAATAAATATAATGTTCAGATCAATTACGCTTGCTTTTCTTTCCTGTTCTGCATTCATCCTTTAATTTTGGACTGAAAGGTTGACAAACATGGTGCTCTTTCTCTCTATCCTTTTGGAAAAAATGCAACCCTCTCCGGCCAGGAACCCGTAATGTTCTGTCGACTCTGAACTGACACTTGTCTTTCATAGGTTTGGGATCAAGTTAAAGCCTCTAATCCTGACCTGAAGTTATGGGAGATCGGAAAGATCATCGGTGGCATGTGG